GTGAATCTCACCATCATCCTTCACAGTTAGCTACCGTGGGTAAATCTTTGTTTCAGAGAGCACGAGGGATCTGTGACAGAAAACATCTGGCCGCCGAACTTCAGCACGTCAAGCAAGTATTGCAAGACAACAAGCTTCGGGTCCCGCGCCTACGTCACAGTGACCGAGTGAAGCCGGCCACAGTCGAGCGTGTACCTGCTGTACTACCATATGTCAGAGGAGTCACAGACAAGGTTGGCTACATCTTGAAGCGAGCTTCTATTAAAACATACTACAAGCCGCCGAAGAAGATTAGTCAATTTTTACCATCCGTCAAGTGTAATATCCCTCTACAAGATGCAGGAGTGTACAAGTTAGATTGTGAATGTGGTCTCTCTTAAATAGGTCAAACAAAAAGATCCATAAAAACCCGCGTGAAAGAACATATAGCTGACGTGAAGCACCGACGCTCCGGGAAGTCTGCAGTCTGCGAACATGTTCAAGATCGTCCCCACCATTACATTCGTTTTGATAAACCACAAATTCTCGCAAAAGAACACCGATTCCTACCAAGGATGATACGCGATATGAACAGAGCGAAGAGAGAGCTTTCCAGAAAATGACATCACTAATCTTTCAACCGACAGCGCCATCTAGTATCGAATTGAAGAACTAAGCTTTCTGGAAGCCCCGAACTCGAACTTTCTGCGCTTGGTCGGTTGGCGCGCGTGTTTACTCGAATACTCTGGATGTTTTTGTGGAAGAGCCCTATACGAAGGCGCTGCAATAACGCGATCGGGGAAGTATTGAATTTGGCGAGACAAGCGAAGCTTCGGAGCGGAATAAAGTGAATCAGTGTGATTAATTATTAGTGTTTTAAGTTTAAATTTGTGTAAAGAAAATTAAAGTGTTAATTTAGGTAATTTTATCGGCAATTTTTATTGTCACGAACCTCAAGCTCGTAACAATAATAAAGAATCTCGGAATGAACACTCAACAGATATATGAAAAGTACAGGCCTCCTCCAGACAACATAGTAAAACAATGAATCAATGCACTACTTAGAATCACTCACAATTATTAACTATTACTAAAGGGAAAGAAAACTTGCAAGAAAACTACAGAAAACTGACTAATATAATAAAAAAAATGTATAAAAAAGTTGCCAAAAATAAGTAAAGAAAAATTCCAATTTTGTCCAGATATAAAAGAACTTATTAAAGAAAGAACGAAACTTAAAAGTAAAGAAAAAGGACTAAAGAAGAAAAAATATACTGTCCGAACTCTACCTCAAAATAATAAAAGAATTATTAATAAAAAATTAGAATACCACTTAAAAGTATTAGAAGAAGAGTTATTACATAAAGGGTCTACAAAAAATGCACAAAAACGACTCACTTTATCCAAATAGTGGATTTCCTCACTAAAAGCAAATGATAATGGAAAAACTACAAATAGAGAACACCTTTTAAAAATAGCTACTGATTTTTGTAAAAACTTATAGAAAAGTCATAACGTGAACAATAACATAACGGATGAATTAATAAATAATAGTTGTATTGTGGACATAAACGATCTTATTCCGCCACTACTACCGTGCGAAATAAGTCATGCTATAAAAAAACTTAAAAGTGATATAAGTTTTTTAACGATATTAACAAATATTTTCAACGAAGTACTCGACCTCAGTCAAATACCAGAAGATTGGGCAAACTCTATTATCATATTATTGTACAAGAAAGGTGATCGATTAAATATCAACAACTATAGACCTATATCCCTATTGCATAAAATTTATAAAGTTTTCACAAGTATATTACTTAATAGAATCAAACCCAAATGAGACTACATGAAACCGAGAGAACAAGCTGGTTTTCGTCCCAAATTCTCTACAATGGATCACATCTTTGTTTTGACTCAGATAATGGAAAGATATAAAGAATATAACAAAACTCTTTAAATCGCATTTATTGATTATTCAAAAGCTTTCGACTCTATTTAGCATGACTCACTTTGGTTGGCGTTGAAATCTCACGGAATACATAACCAATACATAAGAATACTGAAAGAAATTTATAGTCGAACTACAGCAACAATAAGAATGGAGAGACCAGGACAACCACTTAAAATCGAGAGAGGGATGAGACAGGGGGACCCGATCTCACCTAATCTATTTACTTGTTTATTAGAGTACATTTTCTCAAAACTTGACTGGGGCAAACGAGGCATTAATATTAACGGAGAAATTTTGAGTCATGTACGTTTTGCAGACGACATTATCATATTAAGCGAAAATCACGAAGATCTTATATATGGTTCAGTCTTTAGACATAGAAAGCAGAAAATGTGGCCTACAAATGAATCAAGATAAAACTTGTATATTGACAAATAGCACAAAAATGCCTGTACACGTTCAAAACCAACAAATTAGATATGTTAATGAATATATTTATTTTGGGCAAAATATTTCATTTAACAATGACGAAAGTAAATAGAAGAATTAAATTAGCATGGAGCAAATATTGGTCACTAAAACATATTTTCAAGGCAAAACTACCAATTAAATTAAAAAAGAAAGCGACGGATATTACTGTACTCCCCACTTTATTATATGGATGTGAAAACTGGGCACTCACATGGAAAATAATATCTAAGCTACAAGTTTTCCAACGAGCAACGGAACGCAGCATGCTTAACGTTAAACTAAGACATCGACATAGAAACAGTGATATACGAAAAATAACAAATATCATAGACGCAGCCAAATTAGCGTGTCAACTGAAGTGGAGATGGGCAGGACACGTGGCAAGAGTCAGTGATGGGAGATGGACTGAAAGGGTGCTTCATTGGTACCCGCGTGATGCGACGCGCTCACGCGTCCGACCGCGGGTACGCTGGTGTGACGACATTGTAGATGTGGCAGGACCAACATGGACGAGGCTAGCGGCAGACAGAATCTCATGGAAAAGGATGGAGGAGGCCTTCACCCGGAAATGGGTATCCCACATTCCCATTAATTTAAATTAATATAATAAATTATGATACTATTTTATGTGTATAGCCAAATTCAGTAGATTATTATTAACTTCAATTTTATTATTTTTAACTATATATTTTGTGAAAAAAATCGAAATAAGTTGACAATTACTTAAAAATATAAATATAAATTGATTATTTACCCTAACATTATTTTTATAAATAATCAAAAATTAATTTTGTAAATTTAATTTAAACTTTTCATTTAAAATTGACACTGGCATTGACATTTCATGTAATTAAAAAAAATTGCATGACTCATAATAATATTGTAATTGGTTTTAACTAATATCGACTGCTGTATGAAAATTGGGAATTAAATGGCCATTATTATTACTATATATAAGGCCGCCTCCAGCATTTTCCAGCCCTTTTTTTTCTTAGCTTTCTTTCTCCATTTGTTTCCTGTTGTCGCTTCTATATCGTCAATCCACCTTGCTCTCGGGCACCCTCTTTTTCTTCTTCCCTCTGGACCTTTCCATATGATTGTTTTAGTGTCCATCTTTTGTCTGTGTACCTTGCGATATGTCCTGCCTACTGCCATTTCTGCTTTAGTGCATGATGTAAGGCGTCTATGACTTTAGTTCTCCGTCTTATTTTTACGCTTTCATTTTTTTGTATTTTTTTATTTTTAATATGCTTCTTGCCATTGTTTTTAGACATGCTACTAATTTGTATTTTATTTTTGTGTTGTATGTACACGTTTGGCATCCGTAAGTAAGCGTAGGTAAGACGCAGGTATCCAAGACGATTTTCTTAAGGTGGAGAGGAAATTCACCTTTTAATATTTCCTTCAGGGTCCAAAACTTTTTCCAACTCATGTTAATACGCCGCTCGACTTCTAGTTTCACATTTTTATCTTCGAATGATAGTTGTTTTCCAAGGTAAATGTAATTGTTCACGTATTCAAGCGGCTTGCCGTTTAGGTATATAGGTTTTGTAAGACTGTTTGTTAGTATCTTAGTTTTGTTCTCATTCATTTTGAGGCCTACTTTTTTGCTTTCTTCGTTTAGAGTGCTTACTTGTTTCAACGAATAAGACAATATCGTCCACAAATCTGAGATGGGTAAGTTGATCTTGGTTAACTCCGATCCCTTCCGACAGCCAGTTGAGATTGTCAAAAATGTATTGTAGAACCATTATGAACAGTTTGGGTGAGAGATGGTCCCCTTGTCTCACTCCTCGACAGATCGGTATGTCGGGACCTCGTGTTTTCAGTTTGACTTGGTTTATGCTGCCCTCATAGATGTTCTTTAGTACTCTTACATAGTTTTGGTTTATGTGGTAATTTTTCATTGCTTCCCAGATTGCGTTTTGAGAAATCGTGTCGAACGCTTTAGCATAATCAATGAAAACATTGTACAGAAGTCTGTTGAACTCTTTGTATTTCTCCATTACTTGTTGCAGAACTTGTATATGGTCCGTTGTGGAGAACCCAGAACGAAACCCTGCTTGTTCTACTGGTTGATATTTATCGATGTCGGGGCTCAAGCGGCTTTGTAGGATTGACATGAACAGTTTATACACACTTGAGAGAAGACTAATCGGATGGTAATTAGAGATGTCCTGGGAGTCTCCTTTCTTATATAGAAGTATTATATCTGATATTTTCCATTGCTTCGGTACCTGGCCTGTGTGCATAACCTTGTTGAACAGGTGCGCGAGTGAGCTTGTAAGTAGGATACTGACAGTACTTATATGTGGTCAACTTCTTATAAGCTTTTCTCGTGCTTCTGAAAGTGTTTAGGTTGTTCTCAATAATTTTGTACCTGTAATCTTTATAGTTTTTATCTATTGCTTTACTTGTAGTTTTAAACAACGTGCTTAGTTCCTTCTTCATTTCTTTAGTTTTTTGTTTCATTTTCAGAAGTTCATTTCGATTTGTAGTGTAGTAGATTCGCTAAGTATTTTGTTGATATATATATCGATTTTTGTTTTTTTTTTCTGATCTGGGTGCAAGGCTGGTATTGAAGATTTCTGTTAATTTATTGTAGAAGGTTTATGTGTCCTCTCCTTGTTCTGTTTCTAGTTGGTGAATATTCCAAGTATGACGATATATCTTCTTCCATTTTCAGTGTCTTTGGTTTCGCTTTGAATGCTGTTCTACTCCTTTTCCCTTGGTCTAGCATGTATGTAGCTCTGACTAAGCGGTGATCTAATGCGAATCCAAAGCCATGTAATACTTCAACGTTTCTAATTCTCGTGGGGTGGTTTGATAGTATAAAACAAATTTCGTTGCTTGTGTTCCCACATGGAGATACCCAGGTCCATTTGCGGTTTTTCCTAGCTTTGAAAAAGGAGTTCATTATTGACAATTTATTTTCCAGTGCAAATTGAATTAGTTTCTTTGTTATTAATTGTTTTAGTAGAGTATATTAGTTCTATAAATATTTTAGTTGAAGGTAGTGATCTCACGTTCAGTGTTCCTATCTTGAGGGGTTGTTGTGATTCTTTTATTATTTTGATTGTATTTTCAATGAAAACTGGAGGGTTGGGGTTAGGCTCGGGGGAGGGTGCTTTATTTCTGAAATTCTTTTGTGTTTTATATTTCGTTTTTTTTCCGATCGCCGGTATCTAATTGCTAATGATTTCCTGTTGTTGAAATTACTGAAAGTGATGTGATCGGCCTCTCATCCCGTCGAATGCATTTATTCTATTGTTTTTAGTCTTGCTTACTATTTGTTGTTTTTTTGGCTGTAGCTGAGCTTAAAGTAAAGTAGAATTCTCTCGCTTTCTTTTGTCTATAGTCTTTGGGTTTTCCTTTAAATAAGTTTATCATATTTAAAGTATGCTAAGTTTCCTTTTTGCTTTTCCTCAATTAGTTTGTGGTGCAATGACTTTCTAATTTCTAGTTTCTTTTGAGAAATCCTCTGTTATGTAAAGTTCCTTTAATTTCTTTTTGCTCCTCAGAATTACAGCCTTCTTATATCCGCTAACTAGGTTTTTAGGTTTCTCACTCTTATTTCTCGTGCTGATACGGTAAATTTTATATATTTCGTGGTTTTCTATGGTAATGTCTAGTTAGTCTAAAAAACATTTTTTAATGCGATTGATTAGGTCCAGTGCCGACTGCTCCTGTTCTGCCAATCCATGAATAATTATATTATTGCCTTTCCTGTCTTTCTCTAAAAACTCCACATTCTTTTTCAGCTATTCTACTTTAAGTTTCAATGTTTGGTTTTATTCTATGACGGGTTTTAATTTTTCATCCATTTTTCCAAATATGATATTAGTCAGTTCAATTGTTTGGTTCTGTAATTCTATCTTCATCTTTTCGAATAGAAGTTGGAATTGTTTGTCCATGTTATGTGTGTAATGGGACGTGTTTAGTTGTATTTAGTGATGGTAACACTGAGGTGGCATTATCTTTGGTCTGTCGAGATAGTTGGTTCAGAAAGGCTAGAACCCAGAGCCATAAAAGAATCTATTGCCAGCAATGTGTCAGCTGTCTAATATGCCGGCTGTCAAGTTAGAAATATGAATATGGTTCTAACCTCCGTCTTTTTCCAGATTATTTATTCCAAGTTCTCCGTGGTAATCCACCATATACCTCGATGTTTAATGTAATAATCGTTTTATCGCACTAGGTTTTTGGTTTTGATGTGGTATTAATGTTATAAAATATGACTAACTATTTGTATTAATTAATTTTTCGGAGCAATGACACTATTATGTTCACACTACCAATACCGGAACCGGAATTTGCCTACATAGAAAATGTGAAGACTCTACCTACATAGAAATAGAAACTTATAGCGCATTGTTATGTTTTGCAAAAGTGAACAAAAGACTACCTACAAAATGTAAGTGCTCGAGTGTCGTCGCGTTGGAGGGTTTTTGAAATGAGAGCTAACATTTGTTTGAGAAAACGACAGTGTACATAATGTTGCGATGTGGAAGTTCTCAGATTTATATATTTAAAGTGAGTTATTGAAACCTTCTGAAAATTAAACCTGCCATTATCGTCTATTAAAAATAACTTTGCATTTGAAAGGTGTGTATGGGTTTTATGGTTCGGTCGATGGTTTGGTGGTTCGATATCACGATTTTACAAAAAAAAGGATGCAATTCGTCACTAAATAGGAAAATGACAGCGTTAGCTGAACGAATCCCACTCTCAGCCATTTTCTTCATTTCCTTTTTTAAGCTTTTCCTTCTGAAATTGGAGCGGGAATTATATAAAAATAAAAGTAAAGTTGCACTTTTTTAAGAATATGTCGTCGTTTATTTACTAACAAGTAGAAAAAGTAAATGTCTTGATTAATTTCTTAAACACTAACACACCATTGGAAATCTTATTTTTAGCTATGTTAGATTACAAAAATATCAGAATTTTTTATCTCTTTATATCTATCTGGACTTTTTCATTTTAAGCCGACGTGTATATGGTATCACGGTATATCTAAGAGCATGATTATCCATTTCTAAATTACAATAATTTTGGTTGTACCTAGGCTGCACTAAAAGTATCGGGAATGGAATATTTCCACTGTTCCTGTCATATTAATATCTTTTTAATTGAAAACTCCTTGGTTTTAAAAATCGAATACCATTTATTTATTTAAAAAAATTCTCTTTCTTGTCACAAGATTTTATCAAACTTGCTTAGTCGTTGAGAAAATAGAATTGACTCGAGAAAATTCAAGAGCGATGATTTATTATGACTTTTGAAGTGGTTTAACACAAAAACAGTATATTGACCGGATGATTTCTGCATTTGGTGATGAAGCCCCATCCAAAACCACAATTTATCGCTGCTTTGCTGAATTTCAACGTGGACGAGTCAAGCTCTGTGATGATCCCTGTCAAGGTCGTCCAAAAACTGCAGTTACCCAAAAAAACGTTGATGCTGTGCGTAAGCTGATTGAGGAAGATCGACATGTGACATACCGCGAAATTTAGGCAACTTTAGACATTGGCATGAGTCAAATACAAATAATCTCATGCAAATGAACAATTAGGTGTAAAAAAGTTTTTTTCCCGATGGATATCGCTCTGTGAAGAGCAAAAAGTGGCTCGCGTTACTTGGTGCGTCAGAACTCTCGAAAGATTCCACGCAGGATCTTCAAATGCTGTTTACAACATCGTATCAGGTGACAAACCCTGGATATATGCGTACGAACCCGAAACAAAAAACCAGTCACGAGTTTGGGTGTTCGAAAATGAGTTAAACCCAACAAAAATTGTTCGTTCACGGAATGTTGCAAAAAAAAATGGTGGCCACGTTTGTCTCCAAAACCGGCCATGTTACAACTATTCCTCTTGAGGGACAAAGAACGGTTAATGCAAAATGGTATGCTAGCATTTGTTTGCCACAGGTCGTTTCTTAACTCCGTAAAGAGAACTGCAACTGCCGCATCATCCTCCATCACGAACAATGCGAGTTCTCATACCGCACACACAACAAAAGAGTTTTTAGAGCAAGAAAACATAGAATTATTAGACCATTCGCCGTACAGCCCCGACCTAAGCCCTAATGATTTCTATACTTTCCCTAAAATAAAGAATAAATTGCGTGGACAGAGATTTTCATCACCTGAAGAAGCTGTGGACGCCTACAAAACAGCCATTTTGGAGACCCCAAATTCAGAATGGAATGGTTGCTTCAATGATGGGTTCCATCGTAGGGAAAAATGTGTCAAATTTCGCGGAGAATACTACGAAAAGCAATAAATACATTTTTAAATTATAATGTTGTGTCACTTCCTTGATTCCCGAAATCGTAGTAGCGTGCGTTATGTTTATTTTTTTAAGAATAAAGATGACAAACGAGCGTACAGTCTACCTGATGTTACCATCAGATGTGTATACTCTGGCCCACAGACATCTACATCTATCCTCAAGAACCAAAATGCAGATGCGTTGCTATCCCTGTAGACTAAGATAGAAAGTCGCGTTCCCAGTAGAAATTATCTTAGGTTCTCTACACTTACCATACGAAACAAAGCATGCTATTTTAAGCTGGTTTTCTGTGAGAGCGTGGTTCTTCCCTAGTCGTGTTACAATCATAATATAACTACAGCATGGTTATGAAACGTAAATGTGTCATAGTAACGTTGGTGCTAATTTTAAATTCAAGACTTTGCTTCCACAGTTGATAAAGATTGTATGGATGTGTAATAAGGTAACGCCAACCGTATGATGGTTGCATTGATGATATTTGATTAGTATTGCGTCTTGTGATGGATCTCCGGATGAGCTGGTGATTGCCCTATGCTATGAATCCGACGCATCTTGTAGTTGTCGATGGATTTCTGCTGTGATCGTATGGGAGGCTTTGGAATGGTGTGTGCCCGGCGATAGTCGCATTGATGCTCGTTGCGATTTGAAGTCAGATTCGCATCTTTGCGATGGTAATTTGGGCACCCGCCTGAGTAGTTTTGCGCATCCGATCACTTGATGGCGAGTCTGCAGTAGTCCGACCTTCGTAATTATTTATATAACAACATATTAATAATAAATTCCTCTTTGAATTTCCCACATTTTAATGAATAAAGGCAACTTAGTGGTGAGGTATCAATCTGCGATACAGATAAAAATTACATAAACAACAGGCAAGATAGAAAATATGGAAGATGCTTAAGTGTATAATTTTCATAAACTGATATAGCTTGTTATAGCAAAGCTATTAGATGTGAAGGCTATTGATGTTATTGCGCCACAGTATTTAAAATTACGTATATTTTTACTTCATTTTACCTCAAGAATATTATCAAATATTGATTATCCAATCCATAGGAATTTTTTTCATCTAGACCGATTAAGGGGAATGTTAGAGGAAAGTGTTAGACATATTATTGCATAAGCCAAAACATAGGAATATTTTTTGCATCTTTATAACGCTATTGTTGCGTGCCTAAGTTGACGTCAGGTACCTGGCACTAGCGCCATCTAGTGTCGGGGACCAGAGCGAGGAGGGCTTCCTAGAAAATGTCAATCTTGATCTTTCGACCAACAGCCAATCTAGTATTAGCGATCAAGGTAGGAATTTTGAGTCTCAAATATTCCACGAAACTTGCCGAGTTATAGATTCTCATAAAACAAGAAAACAAGAAGACTTCTTATCACCTTCAATCTGATGGAATGGTAGAACGATTTAATCAGACATTGGAGAGATACCTAGCAAAAGTTGTAGACAATCGGCAACGAGATTGGGACAACCACATACAACCGTTTTTATTGTCATATCGAAGCGCTGTTCACAAAAGTACAGCAACGACACACGCTTTCGCAAACTTTGGGAGAGAATTACGGTTGCCTGCAGACCTGATCACCGGGATACCCCACGCAGTATTACCGATTATGC